CATGGAGAGATGTTATGCAGCCCCATCGCCCTTGAGGTATCTAGCTTGCTTAGCAGCCTATTCACTTCTTCCTCGGTTGTATGTACTGTGTCCAACGCTTGATGGTGTACCCCACTTCTCCGTCTTTCTGGAGACCCTTCTGTCTCCTCAGAGAACACTTCTTTGAATCTCATGTTGAGCTCCTCACATATTTCAGGGTCATTTCTTGTGATCTCCCCTACTTCCTTCCTCAGCCTGATTACCTGGTCCTTGACTGTTGTTTTCCTCCTGATGTGGCTGTACAACAGCTTCAGGTCGGATTTGGCTGTAATGGCTATGTCATTTTCGTATTGTCGTTGGGCCTCCCTTCTTACTTGTACATATTCATTTCTGGCTCTATGACTGATCTCCTTATTCTCCCGGTTCCTTTGCCTTCTATACTTCTTCCATTCTCTAGCACATTTTGGTTTTTGCCTCTCTACACGTTTGGGTGAACCAAGGACTCATCCTGGCTTTCTCGTTGTTTCTTTTACCCTTGGGTACAAACCTCTTCTCAGTTTCCTTGAATACTGTTGTCACGTATTCCATCATCTCATTTACTGACTTGCCTGCCAGTTCTCTGTTCCACTGAACCTAGTACAGGAAATTCTTCATGCCTATGTAGTTCCCTCTCTTGTAGTTTGGCTTCATTCATCCTGCCCTTCCTGCTTCCCTCTCCACTTGTAACTCTACTATGTATCCGAAGCTGAGAACTACGTGGTCACTGACCCTGAGGCATCTTTCATATATCATGTCCTCGATATCTGCACCAGCCAGGGTGAATACTAGGTCCAGTCTTACACTCATCTTTTCCTCTCTCTAATAGTGTCCCTTACGTGTTGGAGCATGAGGTTTTCCATCTTAGCCCTCCACGTTTCTAGACCCCCATGTGACTCCAGGTGTACTTACCTAGTTGTGGTTGCAGGGGTCGATTCACAGCTCCTGGCCCTGCCTCTTCACTGGCCACTACTAGGTCACTCTTCCTGCTCCATGAGCTTTATCATATCTTTTCTTAAAGCTATGTATGGATCCTGCCTCCACTACATCACTTTGCAGACTATTAAACTTCCTGACAACTCTGTAACTGAAGAAATGCTTCCTAACATCCCTATGATTCACCTGAGTCTTCAACTTCCAACTGTGACCCCTTGTTGCTGTGTCCCATCTCTGGAACATCCTGTCTTTGTCCACCTTGTCAGTTCCTCTCAGTTCTCTCCTGTCCTCGAGTGTCGTCAGGTCAATTTCCCTTAACCTCTCCTCGTAGGACTTACCCCTTAGCTCCAGGACTAGTCCTGTTGCAAACCTTCACACTTTCTCTAGTTTCCTTACGTGTTTGTCTAGGCGTGGGTTCCAAACTGGTGCTGCATACTCTAATATGGGCCTAACATACACAGTGTACAGGGTCCTGAACAATTCCTTATTAAGATGTCAGAATGCTGCTCTTAGGTTTGCTAGGCGCCTGTATGCTGCAGCAGTTACTTGGTTGAAGTGTGTCTCGCAAGATGTGCCGGTCTTATACTCACCCTAATATCATTTTCCTCGTGTGAGGTTTGTAGCTTCTGGCACCCTAGACTGTACTCCATCTGTGGTCTTCTTTGCCCTTCCCAATCTTCATGACTTTGCACTTGGTGGGACTGAACTCCAGGAGCCAGTTTTTGGACCAGGCCTGCAGCCTGTCCAGATCCCTCTGTAGTTCTGCCTGGTCCTCATCTGATTGGATTCTTCTCAACTTCACATCATCGGCAAACAGGGACACTTCTGAGTCTATTCCTTCTGTCATGTCATTCACAAATACCAGAAACAGCACTGGTCCTAGGACTGACCCCCGTGGAACCCTGCTCGTCACAGACGCCCGCTCTGAGACCTCGCCACGCACCATTACTCGTTGTCTTCCTGAGACGTATTCCCTGATCCATTGCAGTGCCTTCCCTCTTGTCCCTGCCTGATCCTCCAGCTTTTACACTAATCTCTTGTGTGAAACTGTGACAAACGCCTTCTTACAGTGTGTGTGTGTGTGTGTGTGTGTGTGTGTGTGTGTGTGTGTGTGTGTGTGTGTGTGTGTGTGTGTGTGTACGTACTCACCTAATTGTACTCGCCTAGTTGTGGTTGCAGGGGTCGATTCACAGCTCCTGGCCCTGCCTCTTCACTGGCCTCTACTAGGTCACTATTCCCACTCCATGAGCTTTATCATACCTCTTCTTAAAGTTATATATGGCTCCTGCCTCCACTACATCGCTTCCCAAACTATTCCACTTCCTAACTACTCTGACTGAAGAAATACTTCCTAACATCCTTGTGATTTATGCGAGTCTTCAAGTTACAACTGTGACCCCTTGTTACTGTGTCCCATCTCTGGAGCATTCTGTCTCTGTCCACCTTGTCGATTCCTCTCAGTATTTTATATGTCGTTATCATGTCCCCCCCCTCTCTCCTGTCGTCCAGTGTCGTCAGAAGATGTGCCCGGTTTTATACTCACCTCAAGATCTTTTTCCTTGAGGGAGGTTTGTAGTCTCTGGCCCCCTAGACTGTACTTCGTCTGCAGTCTTCTTTGCCCTTCCCCAATCTTCACGACTTTGCACTTGGTGGGGTTGAACTCCAGGAGCCAGTTGCTGGACCAGGCAGGCGCGGATCTAGGAACAAAGTTTGGGGGGGGGGCCCGACGGCAGAATTTTCGGTTGTTTAAAGAGCATTAGCATTAGCGTTTCTCCACTAACGGGATTCTTATTTGTTAATTACTGGCGGACTGACCTAAATGAATGGGCATAACCATCTGCTCTAGGTGCCAGTGTTTCTCTTCGGATCCAAATGAGAGGGCCGATTTTTCTGAGAAAAAAAAAACACTAACCTTACAATGTGAGGAATTTTGTATCTTATTAAAACTTTATTGAAAGTAAGAATTTAATGGCTAAATAGCTAGAGACTTTTACATTAGACATTAACTTAAATGTAGAATATATATATATATATATATATATATATATATATATATATATATATATATATATATATATATATATATATATATATATATATATATATACCTGCTTAAGACAGTAAGCATTATACTTTATAATATTACCTATAATTGTAGCCTTAAAAGTAACATGCAAAGGTTATTACACTGAAAGGATTAATCACACTGCAGCCTAAGCAAAGAGAAGACGGCGGTTCCTTTCCACAAACTTGTTGATCACACGATCAACAGGAACATGTACATCGTTATGGACGGCGAGTAGTGCGAGGCCGTTGAGGCGATCCTGACCTATGGTGCTCCTCAAGTATGTCTTCAGGCGTTTCAGGGCTGAGAACGATCGTTCGGCTTCTGCATTTGAGACTGGCAGGGTCAGTAGGATGGTAAGGAGCTTCGCGATGTTCGGAAACATACGGGCCTCGGCGTATTCCTTTGCTTTCTTGACAGATTCGAAGGCCGGAGCGGAACATGTCCACCGCTGTGTTTCCGTCTGCACGAGCAAAAGTGACTCAACGTCACTTTCGTAGAGTTTAGTGGCTTTAAAAACAGCATCCACGTTTGCTTTTGAGCCCCTGAGCAGCTCCTTCAATCGGAGAGCAACGGGCACAGTGTCATCATCAAATCTGCTCTTCAACTCAGCGATCACATGGTCAACGAACGGAATATACACCGAGCGCCGATAGTACTCCTCAGCAGATGCCGCTGGTATATTCGCGCGTTGTGTCTGTCGTGCACAGACTCTGGGAATAGGGACGTCATCGTGAGCTGAGCCCACTTCAACTAGAAGATCTTTGGCTTTCACGAACACAGCGTGGAAGTACTCCTCGGCATCCGCTCTAAATTTGGAGAATAGTGAGATAATATCTCACTATTCAAGCTACACATACTGACTCACTGCGAGCCGGGCACGAACCAGGACGAGAGGGTAAGGGTTCATGAACCATTCAGTGACCTTACTGCACCAGGTAAAGGGGCCAGGGCAAGATTAATACATTAGGCTATTGTGTTTATGCCTGTTTTGGGGCCTGTTTTGGTAGCCTACTGTGAAAGAGTATAATAATAATAATAATAATAATAATAATAATGACTGTTATTTTTATTAGGCTAAGTTTCAACATATTTACCCATATCTCTGAGATATGGGTAAATATGTTGAAACTTAGCCTAATAAAAATATCATTATTATTATTATTATACTCTTTCACGGTAGGCTACCGTAGGCATAGCTCCAAGGCTCCAACCCACTCCACTCTGGCACTGTCCCACAAGGCCCCAAAACAGGCATAAACACAATAGCCTAATGTATTAATCTTGCCCTGGCCCCTTTACCTGGTGCAGTAAGGTCACTGAATGGTTCATGAACCCTTACCCTCTCGTCCTGGTTCGTGCCCGGCTCGCAGTGAGTCAGTATGTGTTGGAGCCTTGAAATACCGGGGGACGGTGACTCACCGTCACGGGGTCACGTCCCATCAGCCGTCTGATGTTACCACGTGCTCTCAACATGCAACACTGCTTGACGCTCGCTGAGGCTGAGCCTCGCTCTCTCAGAGCCTGCCTGCCTCTCTGGCTGTTATGCCAAATTTCTTTCAAGTTAGGACATTTCCACGATTTTTTTTGCCACATCTCATTATTCTCAGCATCAATACAGCTCCAAAATGTTTATTATAAGTATCCGACCTTAAAAAACATTTTTGTATTGTTATGGAGCTAGAGGTATTAGTGGTCTGTAAACTTGCAAAGTTGCAAAACAAATTTAAATGCATCCCAAAGCAGTGGCGTAACTACGGGGAGCCTGGGGGGTCCGCCCCCCTCTCCCTCACTAGAGCTGTGGGCCCCCCCACTTGAAAAGGAGTATCTGCATAGTTTTGTCTAGAAAAAAAAAAAAAAATATAATATATATATATATATATATATATATATATATATATATATATATATATATATATATATATATATATATAATATATATATCGGCTTTAAAATCTCAAATAATTCGGGAGGGCATGCCCCCGCCATGTAAAGGATTGGCCCCTCCTTCCCCTCGCCCCAAAATGAAAACCCAGCTACGACACTGGGCCAAAGCCCAAAGAGCGCCAAAGGGGGGGGTGCGGGCCCCCTGGGCTCCCCCTTATATCCGCGCCTGGGACCAGGCCTGCAGCCTGTCCAGATCCCTTTGTAGTTCTGCCTGGTCCTCGTCCGATTGGATTCTTCTCATCAACTTCACATCATCTGCAAAAAGGGACACTTCAGAGTCTATTTCTTCTGTCATGTCATTCACAAACACCAGAAACAGCACCGGTCCTAGGACTGACCCCTGTGATCCATTGCAGTGCCCTTCCTGTTATATGTGCCTGATCCTCTAGCTTTTGCACTAATCTCTTGTGAGGAATTGTGTCGAAGGCCTTCTTGCAGTCCAACAGAATGCAAACTACCCATCTCTTTCTCATGTCTTACTTCCGTTACCTTATCATAAAACTCCAGAAGGCTTGTGACATAGGATTTGCCTTCCAGGAATCCATGCTGTTTTTCATTTATAAGTTTGTTCCATTCTAGGTGCTCCAATACTGTCCTCCTGATAATCTTCTCCATGACTTTGCATCTTATACACGTCACTGACACTGGTCTATAGTTTAATGCCTCGTGTCTGTCTCCTTTCTTAAAAATGAAGACTACATTTGCCATCTTCCCTAACTCAGGTAGTTGCCCAGTTTCAATGGATGTGTTGAAAATTGTTGTTAGTGACACACAGCATCTCTGCTCCCCCTCTAAGGACCCACGGAGAGATGTCCAGTGGGAGTATGGTCTACAAATTTATCCTCGCTTCTACAGATATCAGGCACTGTTTCATAACACCAAATAATATATCTCAGCCGTGCCACTGAGATGCAAAACTCAACCTTCTTCATTAGTTTACGTTCCTGCTTAACACTGAGAACCAAGTTTTCTCTTGGCACCACCACTTGCTTCAATTCCACTTACATAATAAGTCACACAAAACATTGTAAATCCAGGGAAAAGTGGAAACTGAATGACGAGTATACGAGCGAGTGAACACAAGCAATAAGCTGGCATGCTTCGCCTATAGCTCAGGAAATAATGAAAACAGAAAGGTCCTGGACATGGCCACTCTGGCCAGTACCAGGCAAACTTTGGAATCATCGGACTAGGTCCGACGATCCAGAGGACACCCAGATATTATCGCTATGGGCAAAATCAGGAATTATGGACTTGTTTCATTTTGTTCGCTGCTTATGTTCGTCAGCCCATTAAAAGTTTTACTGAACTATCAAAATTACATCTCTGTTTATCACTCAGATTAAGTATCTACAGTATGTCTAAAGAATTTTCATCTTTTTCTTAAGCTCATGATTATTCACAGTGAAAGGTGCTAAAAGCTAATTTATATGTATTTTCACTAGTATCAATGTTCCTTAAAAAGACAAATAAAAATCCAGAGAAATTCCAAGATTAAAATCTGGTGCAAATTCAACTTGCTTGTCTGTTCTTGTTTGTAGAAAATAAACATTAAAAAAATATACTTCCATTAAGCATTTATTAACAAAATCAAGCAAAATACTTACTGAAACTATCAAATATTTGATGTGAAATGTGCACTGTGGAGTGTCGTGCATCCATAAGAACCCTCTGAGTGAGGTAGCCGCCCACACTCAGACCATGGACTATTACATTCTTATCTTTTCCACTCAAGAAATCCACCACTCGAGATGCAGTTTCCTGTTAATTCAAATACATTAATTTTTGAGAGGTCATGTCAATAATGTTTATACAAATAACACACACACAAACACAACAAGTGTTGGATGAAATACAACCGAGGAGAAGTTCCTAAGTGACCTTGATACCTCAAAGGAGGTGGGACCGGACATCTCTCCGTAGGTCCTTAGAGAGGGAGCAGAGACACTGTGTGTACCACTAACCAAAATCTTCAACACATCCCTTGAAGCTGGGCAACTACCTGAGGTATGGAAGATGGCAAATGTAGTCCCCATCTTTAAGAAAGGAGACAGAAATGAAGCACTACACTATAGACCAGTGTCACTGACATGTATAGTATGCAAAGTCATGGAGAAGATTATCAGGAGAGTGGTGGAGCACCTGGAGCGAAACACGGTTATAAACGACAGCCAGCACAGATTCATGGAAGGCGAATCCTGTGTCACAAACCTACTAGAGTTTTATGGCAAGGTAACTGAAGTAAGACATGAGAGGGAGGGGTGGGTTGATTGCATTTTCTTGGACTGCAAGAAGGCCTTCGATGCAGTTCCTCACAAGAGATTAGTACAGAAGCTAGAGGATCAGGCACATATAACAGGAAGGGCACTGCAATGGATCAGAGAATACCTAACAGAGAGGCAACAGCAAGTCATGGTCCGTGATGAGGTATCACAGTGGGCGCCTGTGACGAGTGGGGTCCCACAGGGGACAGTCCTGGAACCAGTGCTATTCTTGTTATAAGTGAACGACATGACGGAAGGGATAGATTCAGAAGTGTCCGTTTGCAGATGATGTAAAGCTAATGAGGAGAATTAAATCAGATGCAGACCAGACAGGTCTACAAAGAGACCTGGACAGGCTGGATGCATAGTCCAGCAACTGGCTCCTAGAATTTAACCCCGCCAAATGCAAAGTCATGAAGATCGGAGAAGGGCAAAGAAGACCGCAGAGTATAGGCTAGGCGGTCAAAGATTGCAAACCTCACTCAAGGAGAAAGATCTAGGGGTGAGTATACAGAGTACGTCGCCAGAAGCACACATTAACCAGATAACTGCTGCGGCATAGGGGCGCCTGGCAAACCTGAGAAAGCGTTCCGATGCCTCAGTAAGAAATCGTTCAAGACTCTATATACTGTGTACGTCAGGCCCATACTAGAGTACGCAGCACCAGTCTGGAACCCACACCTGGTCAAACACTTCAAGAAATTAGAGAAAGTGCAAAGGTTTGCAACAAGGCTAGTCCCAGAGCTAAGTGGAATGTCCTACGAAGAAAGGGTAAGGGAAATCGGTCTGACGACACTGGAGGACAGGAGGGTCAGGGAAGACATGATAACGACATACAAAATACTGCGTGGATCAGACAAGGTGGACAAGGACAGGATGTTCCAGAGATGGGACACATAAACAAGGGGTCACAATTGGGAGTTGAAGACTCAGATGAGTCAAAAGGATGTTAGGAAGTATTTCTTCAGCCACAGAGTTGTTAGAAAGTGGAATAGTCTGGCAAGCGATGTAGTGGAGGCAGAAACCATACATAGTTTTAAGACGAGGTATGATAAAGCGCAGGGAGAGGGAGGGCCTAGTAGCAGTCAGTGAAGAGGCGGGGCCAGGAGCTGAGTCTCGACCCCTGTAACCACAATTAGATGAGTACAATTAGGCGAGTACACACACACTAACACACACACTGTATATCGTCTTCTGGTGTTATTATGGTTTTCAAGATTTAACATACTCCAAAACAGTCCTGAAATTGTTAGTATTATATTGATAAGCTTAACTGGCCATAATATAGTTTAGTATTATTTCAAATTCATCTTAGTACAAAGCTTTTCTTGGCTGCCATGTAGTCATGTACCTGCGACATAGATTATTCTGTTGCATATTAGAATGCAACAAAAATCATTTGTAAATCTTGGCTTTGGCTTGGAGGTATTATTTTTGTTCCCTTATACTCTACTCTTCGCTCCATACAAGACTACCATTGAGAAGACAAATAAGAACATTTTTAGGAATTGATTTCTGAAGTTTAAATACTTGCCTCTGCTCCAGTCTTGGGAAACAGGAGATCCCTGACGGAGGTGGTGACATGAAGGACATCATGCCCTCTCCTAGTCCAGCAATTCGCATACTTATGAGCATACTTTTGCTTAGCACCGAGCCAAGTAAAGAGCACCACCATCTCTCGGGGATGCTGAGAAGCTGTACTTTCTCGTCGATAAAGCTGAGCATTCTTGAAACAGTCGATAACCTGTAAGAGAATAAATGACCGGTACAATGCTGGACATACAAGTAAGCAAAATGTTAACGCTAAAAATATCTAAAAATGCACATAAGCATTCATGAATTTTATCAGTAAAACAATAACATGTTTATGTATATTGTATAGGAATGTATTTTTAAAACATTCATTGTGCAGTACAGTATACGCTAAGACTAGCAAAAATATCAAGATTAACTAGCAGGCTGCAGCTCAGTTGCTAGTAGATCACAGGATGACCAACCTAAATTGTCATCTATTGAAAAATGTGAAAAATAGTCAATACAGTTAAATAAAACAATGCTTAATGACGAGATTCAGGAAAAGAAACTTGTAATTACTTTATGATCCGTGACAAAGTTTTATCCTACTATCAAGCTGAGTGAGCAAGATGGAAGGATTACAAATTAGTGTTCCTTTAGTCACGGATGGTTTAATAATTTTAGAGTGGGCTTCATAAAGTTTATTGGTGAGTCACTGTGCCTCTGTTGAACACACCTGCAGCGAATTTTCCTGCCAAACTGTTGGAAATTGTTTCCAAGTGTGATTACACACCTGATTAATTATTTAATACCAACAAGACTGAATTATTCGGGATGATGATGATGCCGCCTTCTAGAACCTGCAAGAGAAAACTGAACCTGGATCCAAGATAGTAAAGAATCGTTTCAGTTTGCTACCGTAAGCTAATACATTGGGTGAATTTAAGTGCAGATCTATTCTTATATATCGCTCCAAGAAATCCCCGACCTTTGAAACTAAAAGATAAAAATCAGTATGGATGACTGAAGCCTTGTTTATTGAGCAAGCCGAGCATCATTTTATTCCTGAGGTTCTTATATCTGCACAGCAAGAACCTTGTATGTAAGGTTCTACTGATTCTTGATCAATCTATCACTGGTCGATGGTACACACACAGTGGTCGCTGCTACACACACAGTGGTCGCTGCTACACACAGTGGTCGATGGTACACACACACACACACACACACACACAACACACACACACACACACAACACACACACACACACACACACACAACACACACACACACACAAACAACACACACACAAACAACACACACAACACACACACACACTCACTCACTCACACACACACACACACACACACACACACACACACACACACAACACACACACACACACACTGCAAGAAGGCGTTTGACACAGTTCCACACAAGAGATTGGTGCAAAAACTGGAGGACCAAGCAGGGATAACAGGGAAGTCACTACAATGGATCAGGAATACTTGTCAGGAAGACAGCAGCGAGTCATGGTACGTGGCGAGGTGTCAGAGTGGGCACCTGTGACCAGCAGGGTCCCGCAGGGGTCAGTCCTAGGACCAGTGCTGTTTCTGGTATTTGTGAACGACATGACGGAAGGAATAGACTCTGAGGTGTCCCTGTTTGCAGATGACGTGAAGTTGATGAGAAGAATTCACTCGATCGAAGACCAGGCAGAACTACAAAGGGATCTGGACAGGCTGCAGACCTGGTCCAGCAATTGGCTCCTGGAGTTCAATCCCACCAAGTGCAAAGTCATGAAGATTGGGGAAGGGCAAAGAAGGTTGCAGACGGAGTACGGTCTAGGGGGTCAGAGACTACAAACCTCACTCAAGGAAAAAGATCTTGGGGTGAGTATAACACCAGGCACATCTCCTGAAGCGCACATCAACCAAATAACTGCTGCAGCATATGGGCGCCTAGCAAACCTCAGAACAGCATTCCGACATCTTAATAAGGAATCATTCAGGACCCTGTACACCGTGTACGTTAGGCCCATATTGGAGTATGCGGCACCAGATTGGAACCCACACCTAGCCAAGCACGTGAAGAAACTAGAGAAAGTGCAAAGGTTTGCAACAAGACTAGTCCCAGAGCTAAGAGGTATGTCCTACGAGGAGAGGTTAAGGGAAATCAACCTGACGACACTGGAGGACAGGAGAGATAGGGGGGACATGATAACGACATACAAAATACTGAGAGGAATTGACAAGGTGGACAAAGACAGGATGTTCCAGAGATTGGACACAGTAACAAGGGGACACAGTTGGAAGCTGAAGACACAGATGAATCACAGGGATGTTAGGAAGTATTTCTTCAGCCACAGAGTAGTCAGTAAGTGGAATAGTTTGGGAAGCGATGTAGTGGAGGCAGGATCCATACATAGCTTTCAGCAGAGGTATGATAAAGCTCACGGCTCAGGGAGAGTGACCTAGTAGCGATCAGTGAAGAGGCGGGGCCAGGAGCTCGGACTCGACCCCCGCAACCTCAACTAGGTGAGTACAACTAGGTGAGTACACACACACACAAACGCGGATGGAATAACGAATAAACATGAGGAGTGGAACGAAAGAATCAGTGAAAAATCCCCAGACATCATAGCAGTCACAGAAACAAAACTCGCTGAGAAAATAACAGACACAATCTTCCCAACGGGATATCAGATCCTGAGGAAAGATAGGAGTAGAGGGGAAGGAGGGGTTGCACTGCTCATAAAACACCGATGGGGATTTGAGGAAATGGAAGGCATGGACATGACTCTAGAGACTACATTGTAGGTACAATTCAGTCCGGAGAACATAAAGTAGTCATTGGAGTGATGTATAACCCACCACAGAACTGCAGGAGGCCAAGAGAGGAGTACGAAGAAAACAACAGGGTGATGGTGGACACACTGGCTGAGGTGGCAAGAAGAGCTCACTCGAGCAGAGCAAAGTTACTGGTAATGGGCGATTTCAACCACAGGGAGATCGACTGGGAAAACCAGGAGCCACATGGGGGTCCCGAAACATGGAGAGCCAAGATGATGGATGTGGTACTTGAAAATCTCATGCATCAACATGTCAGGGACACAACCAGAGAGAGAGGGGAGGATGAGCCAGCAAGACTGGATCTTGTGTTCACCCTGAGCAGTTCAGACATTGAGGACATCACTTATGAGAGGCCCCTTGGAGCTAGCGATCACGTGGTTCTGAGTTTTGATTATATAGTAGAGTTACAAGTGGAGAAGGTAACAGGAACTGAAGGGGACAGGCCAAACTATAAAAGGGGGGACTACACAGGTATGAGAAACTTCCTGCAGGAGGTTCAGTGGGACAGAGAAATGGTAGGAAAATCAGTAAACGAGATGATGGAATATGTGGCAACAAAGTGCAAGGAGGCAGAGGAAAGTTTTGTTCCCAAGGGAAACAGAATAATAGGAAGACCAAAACGAGTCCTTGGTTTACCCGAAGGTGTAGGGAGGCAAAAACTAAGTGCAACAGAGAATGGAAAAGGTACAGGAGGCATAGGACCAGGAAAACAAGGAGATTAGTAGAAGAGCCAGAAACGAGTATGCACAGATAAGGAGGGAGGCCCAGCGACAGTATGAAAACGACATAGCATCGAAAGTCAAATCTGACCCGAAACTGCTGTATAGCCACATTAGGAGGAAGACAACAGTCAAGGACCAGGTGATAAGGCTGAGGAAAGAAGGTGGAGAACTCACAAGAAACGATCAAGAGATATGTGAGGAGCTCAACACGAGATTTAAGGAAGTATTTACAGTAGAGACAGGAAGGACTCTGGGGGGACAGACCAGATGGGGACACCAGCAAGGAATACACCAACAAGTGTTGGACGACATACATACAGATGAGGAGGTGAAGAAACTGCTAAGGGACATCGATACCTCAAAGGCAATGGGACCAGACATCTCCCCGTGGGTCCTTAGAGAGGGAGCAGATATGTTGTGTGTGCCACTTACCACAATCTTAACACGCCCCTGGAAACTGGGCAACTACCTGAGGTATGGAAGACGGCAAATGTAGTTCCCATTTTTAAAAAAGGAGACAGAAAAGAGGCACTAAACTATAGACCTGTGTCATTGACGTGTATAGTATGCAAAATTATGGAGAAGATTATCAGGAGGAGAGTGGTGGAGCACCTGGAACGGAACAAGAGTATAAATGCCAACCAGCACGGATTCACGGAAGGCAAATCCTGTGTCACAAACCTTCTGGAGTTTTATGATAAAATAACAGAAATAAGACACGAGAGAGAGGGGTGGGTTGATTGCATCTTCTTGGACTGCAAGAAGGCCTTTGACACAGTTCCTCACAAGAGATTAGTGCAGAAGCTAGAGCATCAGGTGCATATAACAGGAAGGGCACTGCAATGGATCAGAGAATACCTGACAGGGAGGCAACAACGAGTCATGGTACGTAATGATGTATCACAGTGGGCACCTGTGACGAGCGGGGTCCCACAGGGGTCGGTCCTAGGACCAGTGCTATTTTTGGTATATGTGAACGACATGATGGAAGGGTTAGACTCAGAAGTGTCCCTGTTTGCAGATGATGTGAAGTTAATGAGGAGAATTAAATCTGATGAGGACCAGGCAGGACTTCAAAGAGACCTGGACAGACTGGACACCTGGTCCAGCAAATGGCTTCTCGAATTTAATCCTGCCAAATGCAAAGTCATGAAGATTGGGGAAGGGCACAGAAGACCACAGACAGAGTATAGGCTAGGTGGCCAAAGACTGCAAACCTCACTCAAGGAGAAAGATCTTGGGGTGAGTATAACACCGAGCATGTCTCCGGAAGCACACATCAATCAGATAACTGCTGCAGCACATGGGCGCCTGGCAAACCTGAGAACAGCATTCCGATACTTTGATAAGGAATCGTTCAAGACACTGTACACCGCGCATGTCAGGCCCATACTGGAGTATGCAGCACCTGTTTGGAACCCGCACTTGATAAAGCACGTCAAGAAACTAGAGCAAGTACAAAGGTTTGCCACAAGGTTAGTTCCAGAGCTAAGGGGAATGTCCTATGAAGAAACATTAAGGGAAATCGGCCTGACGACACTGGAGGACAGGAGGGTCAGGGGAGACATGATAACGACATATAAAATACTGCGTGGAATAGACAAGGTGGACAAAGACAGGATGTTCCAGGGAGGGGACACAGAAACAAGAGGCCA